GCCCGCGCGCGGAAATCGCCCGGCTCATGGCCACGCAGGCGCCTCGGCGCGCGGCGTCACCTCCCTGGCGCGGCGGCTCCGTGGCCGGCGGTGGGAGGCCCGGGACAGGGCGAATGCCCCGCGCCCCCTCGGCCGTTGGCGCCTCCAGCGCTGGCCCGAGGCCCGGGCAAGCGGCTGGCCGCCCTTCCCCCGAGGGAGGCAGGGCCACCGAGGCCGAACGAGGGCGCGGGCCCGCCTGGCTACGGTCAGGCCCAAAGCCGCCGGGGATGGGCTGCCCGGATGTGGGCCGGGGAGATCCCCCACCCCGGCTCCACCCCCCCCCCCCCCCCCCCCCCCCCCAAGGTGGCACCCGGTGGCAAAGAAAACAGAAGTGGATCCGGCGGCCAGTTGCGCATATTGCCGAAGGGACTAATCGGGACCGCCGGGACACCGTGGGGGCGCGCGGCGCGCGCCGCCGGCCAGGAGCCGACCGGGCTGGCCGGCGGACCGGGCAAATAACGAGCGGCGCGCGAGGCCGGCGCGCGGCGGAGCCTGGCGCGGCCCGGTCCGGCCGATCGCGCGAGCTCCGGGCCTGCCGCACCATGTCCGGCGCCCCTGGCGCCCGGGCCCGCCCCCTGGCAACTGGCAGATCCGCCGGGGGCCCGGGGGTGGGATGCCCCGCAGGGCGCGGCCATCGCCGCCGGCGAAGGGGCCCACCCCGGCCACCGCCGCCGCCGCCGCCGCCCCTATGGCCGGAGACGGTGCGGAAGGTTGCCCGGCCCCAACTCGCGAGCGCCCCCCACCGGGGGCGGGGGGGCGGGCACACGTCCTGCCACGCATCGGGCGGCCGCCGGCTTGCCCACTGCGCCCGGCCCCCCCCCCCCTCCCCCCGGACCACGCACCGCCGGAGGCACACGCGGCGCGCCTCGTGGTGCGCGGCACGGTCGGCCTCCGGGACCACGAGGAGCGGCGACGCGGCGCACCGCCGGCATCGTCGCGCGGAAGGCGGCCGTCGCGCCCGTGCGTGTGCGCCCGCGCGAAACCAAAGATCCGGGCAGGCGATGGCCACCGCCGGCCCATGGCTCACGCGCTGCCGGAGCTGCAACCGCCCCTCCCCGGGCCCCTTGCCGACCTGGGCCGCTCATCCCACGCACTGACGCGAGCGCATGCGTCCTGGTGCCCCTGTGCTCCTCGCGCCCTGCTCGGCCCCCCATTGCGCTGGCGCCCGCCCTCCCGGCCGGGGGGGGAGGGGGCCCCGGCAAAACACCCGTCCCGGAGCAAGGGCGCTCGACTAAACTGACAGGAGCTGCTGCCCCCCCCCCCCCCCCCCCCCCCCCCCCCCCCCCCCCCCGGCCCATCCCCGGCCCATCCCCACCCCCGGTTCCCCGCGTCCTGCCTGCGGGGCTCGGGCGCCCGAGCCCCGCAGGCCGGCCACCAGCGAAAACGCCAATCGGCCCGGTACCCGGAAGGCCCTCCCCCACGATCGGAAACCGGGGCCAGGTTGCGCAGGGGATTGTGGGCTGACATGTTGGCACGTGACCACCGCCCCAGCGATCGGCGTCTCTCTTGCTGGGCGTGTTCCCC